ACATTAAGTAGTAGTCAAGTTATGACTAGTTTTCACTCAAAATTATCTTCGTGGACAATGAAAATCCATTTTATATGGATCAACTTGAATACGTAGTCAAGTTAATTGATACAGATAAAATGAGGACTTCGCAATAACCCATGTTTATTGTTTAAGCTTTTAAATGAGGTTTAGGCTTTTCTTCTGCAGTATGTGCGTGCACTTCTAAACAACGATGCATCAATAAGAATATTCATGTAAAGTCGTACAAGGAAGCCTGATTCCAGGGATTTTCATTGCCTAGGCGGAATTTTTATTTATGCAGTAGTGTATTACATAGTGTTCTTAAAAGGTAATCATGCAAAACTAATACGTTTTCCTTAATAACTTGAACCACCACATGAATTTCATTTACCGCTCTAGGGCAGCCTCATTTTTCAGAAACGTGCGGTAAATTCGGTAGAGTGAGGTGTGCATATAATGGCATGGAATAAGTGCCCACACTTCCAACTTACTGATACATTTGACAGTATTTTGGCTGAATTATCATCTGTAACCACTTTGTTCTTTCTCCGTAGATTATAAAATTTGTTAATTAATGTTCAGTGATTTAAGTTAGTCAACAGAAATACCAGGACGTAGCTTTCCTGATCATTGACATTCAGCTATTCAAACCCACTGGTAATGTTTTTAACTGAAGTACTGGTTGACATGGGTGAGAATCGCAGGGTAGATATCAGTTCCATCGAATTTGTAGATATATCTTACTGGCGAGTGAAAGAAGCAGGAACCTAGGTTCAGGGTTTTCTGCAAGTTGCTTTCAAGCGCCTGAGTTTGATTCAGAGTGAAATGTGATTGTGAGATTAAGAACTACGCATATGTTATTGGTTACTCCACAGCAACTTCTATTTGTTTCGTCACACTCCTACTTAGGTCTGATAAATTTTCTGATACTGACTTTGTATCTCCTTCTTACTGATGAAGTTATGCATTAGTTGACCACTTTTGGTAAGTCTAGCTACAGATCGTTCAAGAAATTTATGGAGAAGTCAGTAGCAGAGATTGAAACTATCCAAATCTGCGTATCCTTGTTTAGCGGTTACATTTGAAGCTGGTATAGAGGAAACTCAGGAACTGTAATTTTAGACTGGAAGCATTTTTATAAGCAGTTTCATTAGAACAATGATAATGTTACTCACTTGTGCTTAATAGGTTAGCGACACCAATTATCTACTCGTTAAGCACCTTATGCATATCACTCAGCTAATATTCACTATATAAGTGTAAAGTTGAAGATGCACAACATAATTCTTTCCCTTGAATAAAAGTTGAAAAATAAATAGGAACTTTGAAAACACCTGGATTTTAAGTTTATAAAAAATACTTGTATTCAAAAGAGTTTATTTCCTGTTAAATTGAGGATCACATTGAAACGATTATTTAAGTACACTAGGAAGTTCTTCATGTCAAATGACCCACTCAGCTGACTAGCACTCCTCTGTAGGTAAATGCATTTTTCGATAAGTAATAAGATGATAAAAATTAAAAATGAATTCATTACACTTACAGAAAACTCCTTTTTTCAAATAATTCAGTCTGTATGTCTGAACACTGACTATATTAATACACCAAATTACATTTTAATCTCTTTTCCTCTCTTCTTCTTCTTCTATTCACTCTGACAAAAAGAAAACGTCTTGTTCACCAATTTTTGCTTTCTTTTTTTCATTTCTCTAAGCAATTAGGAATTTTGTTTTGCCTACAGGGAAGAAACTATAGCTTGCCTTATTCCATGAAAAATAGAATTGATAATCACTGAAATAATTATTTCCATTTCAGACACTAACAACATCAAAAAAAAAACAAGTCCAAAAGTGAAAATGTTTTTTTTTGTTGTTGACGGAATTTATTTAAAGTTGAAATTAAGCCAAATTCTCTAAACAAGACAGACTCTGTTAGAAATTGACACTAATTGAATAACTAGTGAAGAATTGAAGGCTCTAGATAGTCTCCTTTGTCATGGTTTGATGATATTCAGCAAGACGTACCTACTGACTGAACTTCGACAGTAAATTCTATGTTACTTGATTGTTAGTGGCTTACAGTGGAATCAAGGATGCGCGTTTGACCTTAATTATGGACTGTTAGCTGGTTCTACCTGTAGACTAGTAAATGTTGTCTTCATTTAGCCTCGAGCCGAGAATTTATCATCTCAAAAGTAAAAGTATTAAAGAATTGAACGCGCGTCCTGAATTCCACTGCTACACTAGCTACCACAAACATTTAACCTAAAAAATTAAAAGTCCCGTTAACATTGAGGCGTCTGTTTAGGAAACCCATATGCCAAAATGAGTATATTGCATAAACAGGAATTCACACTTATTTGATGAATGGCAACTAGGAGAAAAATGCAAGATGTGTGCCTGAGGTATTATCCCCGTTGAGTGGTGGTGTCCTCTCTGAGACTCAAACTCGCATCCATCGTTTTAAACGCCAAGGCGTTATCCACTAGACTACTTGGGCCACGAGAACCATCTCATTTGTTTAAGCGAATTTTGTATTTCTAGTTTGTAGCTTAGCTAAACTTTGTCCTACATATCAAAGAAATTGTAGACTCTGGTAGTCATTTAGAAAATATAATGTCCCTTTATTTTGGCTCATTTGCTTGAAATAATGAAGATTTCTCGTAAAACACCTCCACGTCGGGTTATACCTAGTATGTTTACCAGCTATTACTATCTTTACATGATTTTATATAAAAATGACATGTATCAGACAATTATATTCAGGAGTGTAACTACTAGATTTGGCCATAAATCATTTAGTCAAAGAACTTTGTTTCTGTACTCATTAATATATTTTAAGTAATACAATGACTACGGCCCTATAAAATTCAGGTGTTTTCATAATGGTTAGCTAAAGTTTTATCTAAAGTAATTTGGCAACTCATTTTTTAGCTTGATCATAATAACAATTAAATACAGCCTGACAAACCTATTCAGTCAACCAATGGGACCTAACAGTTTCTAGCATAATTATGAATGCCACTCTCCTTTAACATGCATGCCTAGTCATCGCCCTCCTCGACGGGCAATGTTAGCTGATATAGGGTCAGGCTGGAAAAGAGCTAGCGGCGGCCAAACCAAAACATAGCACCAGTCAATGAAATCTACATCAGTTAGTCTAGGCCACGTAGGAAGGTGTAGACTTCCTGGTTGGGGTCCTCGGGATGGTAAAAACCAATGGTTGGAAACAATTGGTGACATGGCTCAAAATCGTTCTCAATGGCTAGCGCAGATGCATCCACTCTTTGTGACTTATGATTTCCAATGAAACTATATTGTTCTTCGTTATTACTATTTCTTTGTCTCACACCTCTGTTTACTGTCTCTAATATGCATTTCTCCTACTTTCTTCTCTTGCTTTGTGTGCAACATGGAGTGTGGCGACTTGAACTGCCACACATATGTGCAAAGTTCTATGTCGGAAACAGACAGACAGACATCTGAAAAATGAATTTTAAATAAAGCAATCAAAGAGCGGGATTCAGTTACATACATACATGAATATCTCATGAACACTTAACGTTTTCACAATCTATTTAAGTTTAGCTGTTGGATATGAAGTGTTTTATATTTAGTATTCAGGCCGAACACTTTGTCCTTTTAGGGAATATTTGCTTCAGTGAAATGACACAGTTTACTGTAAGAATTTCATCAAAAATCTTAGGTAATAGGTGAAGTATGAGAAAATTCTAAAACTTGATAGGATGCAGACCAGTATTTACTCCCATCACATGACACTATCCCATCATCTTAATTAAAATAAGGAATATCTCATTAGCTAATAACGTTATTTTAACTCAAACGGTTATTCTTTAGAGATGTTTTTTATAAAAAACTATTCCTTACATTTCTTACATTGCTCAGCTGACATGTTACATAAGCACGACACATTTTTAGGTAATTATACATTATGATGAATAAAATCCAAGTTAACATTGTTTTTGTCAATTAACAATGACTGAGTATAGAGTATATAACATACCTATTCCTCAGTTTAATATTCTCGCTTAGATCTTATTAGAAAAAAGCAGCTAACTGTTTGTTTGTCCATTCTTCAACAAAATATTCGTTTATTTTGCTTATAACCTGCCTTAATGATTGTATCGTCTTCATTAGTGTTATTTTGTAACTTGTGAATCATACATTACAGCTTAAACATAAATTTTAATTGACTTCAAAAAGAAAAATATATTGTCTTACAATTCTACTAACGAAGGACTTTTTATCGAGGATGTTTTATAACTACGACACGGTGGGAAAAAAGTAGACTTCAAGAATATATCAACTTTCTGTGGACAATATTTTCAAAAATTAGCATGATAATGAGTGAATATAACATTAACTTGATACTCATCAATTCATTTATGCTTCGTGAAAGCGGTTTTATAAGAATTCATAGTAATGTAAGCTACAGTATTTATTGGTTTTTAAATGTTAGATTTTAGAAGTATACATAGACAGTGTCAGACCGCTGAAGTAATTAACTGAAGTAATTAACTTATAATAAGTTTTTTTCCAGTCCTTTGAATTCCTAATGAGAGATAAGGTCTCACGTTTGAGCTCTCGCCTTTAATTGCTATCCTTGTGACCAACTTTCCCTCTTTACTGGCCTTACTGCCTGCTGAGGTTAATGAGTGATTAGGAAGGGAGTCGAATCCAGACCGTTTTTGTGGCCGACTCCCTATTTATAAGTTGTCGTTTGGTCCCAAATCAGTATTTGTCAATATTGTCTCTTCAAAATGAATAATGTGAAATTTTATTAGGCACTTACCATCTTTACTGGTTGTCATAAGGTTTCTGGATTAAGTTGTGAACACTATAAACACGTACAAAGTTGTCAGCCTAATTGTTGCACTTAAATTATTACTGGAGATTTTATATACAGAATAGTCTGTATGATTTCAAAATTCAGTTTGTTATTGTCTAACTGTTTAATGTATCTTTCTTTTCTGACAGACCTCCTAATCTTAATGAACAAATCAATCAGGCATCCCAGTTATATCATCTACCTATCAGTAATAATTCCAGGCTCCAGTATCCAAGACAGCATATCTTTCGACTTGAAGGTTCCCTGCAAAACTCTCCTCAAAATTACACAACAGTAGGATTTAAATTATTGAACAATCAATTAAGAGCTGAATCTCATGGTATACAATACTCAGAAACTCCTAACACTGAAGCAAATCGATTTCAGGAACCATTCTACCAGACCTCATTATCTAATCAAATTGGTGTGGTAAATACATCACATATTCAAGTCGATTGTAGGCCACTGCATACTCTAACTTCAGTACCATCCCAATACACTCAACAAAATCCATATTATCCTACAGTACACACACCCTCGAATAGTGAAATTTATCATCGTATTGCCGTAAGAAGAAATTTACAAGCGAATGCAAATTTCATTCGTGGCAATACAAATCACAAATTAAACGACAGTTTACTTTATACACAATTAAGTAATCATAAGGCGAATTTTCAACCACTATATCGAATTTGTGGAACAAACACTAATAAATCTCAATTATCATATCCTGATTATTCACGTCCTATACGGTGGGCAGCTGAACGGGGTTTAATATCGGCTGCAAAACAGCAGCAAATACTTTGTGAATCATCAAGAGAGAAAAACTCTCCATTTCAGTTGGTAAGTCAGAAAGATTTATTTTGTCGGGATATTATTTCAATGCTTCACTTGAAACATTCACTCTAAATAATATTTTTGTACTGAGAAATATAATATAACTGTCTACATGTGATTATTTGTATGCGTACACAAAAGCTCAAGGAAGATACCCATTTAGACATTGAAGAGTCTCTTTTTAGCGAATTCTTTCACTTAGCTGTACAGCCGAAATTATATTTTTGTTTATTTTTGGGTGTAAATTAGGTTTGCCAAACAGTAAAACCTAATTTGTAGTATTGTACGCGTCATCCAAATATTTCAAAACAGTAAGGAATGACCAAATTGTAGCTAGAGAATGAAGATTAGTAAGTTTAGACTGAGGTTGCACTGTATGAAAAAGTTTCAGAAAAATTGGAAGTTAATGGAAGATCACAGAGAGAAGTACCAAAATATTTTATGTAGTAGGTGAAGAGGGTGAACAAAATGTTGGTTAAAATGATGCCAGAAAATGTCATAAAAAACAGGCGGAAATTATCATTTCATGGGGGATTTCATCATGAGCTGACATCAGTTAGAGAACCACTGGAAAACCTGAGGGAGTACTGGACAGCTGTTTTGTTCTAGTTTGAGACTCCTCATCAGTACGCATCCACCAAGGTTCGAACTCAGGACCTTCTGGTTACAAGGAAAGCCAATGGGACCCGATCCAATGGTCCTTAAATTCTAACTTCTGCCAATTCATGACATACGCGACCATTTCGTAACTGATGTAATGCAATCAAACAAAAATCCCTACAAAACCAATATTTTGGAAATTATTACTGATGATAAAAGCTGGGTTTGGAATTATGTCCAAGTTAGAAGGAGAAGTTCCTTCTGTTTACGTAAATCAGGATTTTCTATCCGAATCGCTAAGACTTTGTCACTGCAAAGAATACAGAAACATACCGCTTTCCGGAGGCTTCTTTTGACTTTGCAGAAAATTTTGAATAAATTCCGGCCATTGCTGAATGTATGTTCAGTTATCGTACTTCTTATTGATTCATTGCGACCCTTCTGTAAACTAGTAGTAACGAATGCTCATAAGTAGAGTATGTAAAGTTATGACTCAGAGTAAATTTAAATACTGGATTAGTTCACCTTGACTATTATATTAAATTTTACAATTCTTTTAGTCACCTGGATTTTAATTAATTCTCTTTGGACGTACCGATATTAATATTAACTAGAAAATGTTAATCAAAGAGAAACTAACAGATGTCTTTGTTTTTAACTGATGTGTGAGTTGACTAATACTCATAAATACCCGTAAACAAATGGCGGTGTTTTTCTTCTGTTACAAAATTTATTGATTAAAAAGAAACTAGCTGTCTAATAACTGTCGTACTGTGATGACTGAAATGTAACATTGTTCACCATGGTAGACTTTTATGAAAGTATAGAATATGCAGTTAGTTGAAAAATCGTGAAAGCCTTTACTGGTATATTAAATTAAACAATCATTTTGTCGTTTATTACTTAGCAGTCACGTGACCCATACCTTTGGAAATAAATAACAGTTAATTTTCTGACGGTTTGAAAATGAGATAGTGATTTATATGGGGTTTAATTTCCTCAGCAGCTGGTGGCGAACCATACTGAAACGGTAGAAGACGGAATGAGTGTTTTTTGGAAATGGTATTTCTATGTAGTCAAATTATGTATACCTTATCTTCACGCACCATTTGCATAGATATTCGTGTTGTGGTACTTCTGGCCTTCATATTGTATTTTTCTGTGTTGCTTTCACATCTAGCATGAATCTCCACAACACTGTATCATTTGCCTTCTCTGACATCAAATGTATCTCCTTGCTATTTGATGCTTTTATGCCGATGAACGTCTCTTTATATACTACTGGTAAATCTTATCAGCAGCACTCGCGACAGTATATCTGTTCCACCTTTGTATTGGAACAGCTTCTGATACAAACTGTCAGCTGATGAAGTCGAACAGTCATCACTCGACAGCTGCTACAAAATTATAGTGCATTTTTGTATATCTACTGCCGAATGTAGTTGCTTACATAAAATTTCCATCTTTGCAACAATATTCGAATGATATAGAAATTATTTTCAAGTTGGTAACATTTACAATAGGCTCTTTCGTTAACTAGTCTACCTATAATCTTGAACTAAAAAAACTTCTTGAATATTCTTTTTTTTATGTGATTTGTAACCGATTATGTTATCACTTTTCATCCATCGTTGTCTCTTTAAACTAAGATCTTCATGTCAAAGTTTTGCCAGTATGATGAAAAAGGTATGCTCTTATTCTGATAATACTATGTGTATTTTAGGCTGTCTGCAGTTGAACAGAAGCCTCGGAATAATATACGCAGTTTTTATATTTTGTTCTCCTTGATTTGACAAAAATCATGAGTATTTTATGTTAGGTTTTACCCTTACTTTATTGCATGGTGATGATTTAATCTTCAGCATACTGAGAACGATAGAAACCTCAATATATGATGCCTCAAGAGTGCCTTCTCAAACCATTTCAGATACTCATCATTCTTAAAACAGTCTTCCAAGAGGTCCAATTTCACATTCACTTCGGAAATTTTGACAGAGTAACGCCAAAACCCTCTGATTTCCTTCACTGTCTATGGGGTCCTTGAATTTTTTTCAAATCGTGGAAAATCTCAAAAGTATGTCTAGAGTCATATCAGTATAGTTTCATTCAGTGCAGCTTCAACTTATTAATTCACTTAAGATACTATGGGGATATATTTTGTCATCAGACTATGTCTTAGCATAAAGGCATTTCTGCTTTATTAAGAAATCTCCAGTAATTCCTCATTCCAATGAATTACTAGAAATTCTAATCTTTCCAGTGCGGTTAGTTAATTAAAAAAGCTTCTAATTTGTTCAGTAGTTGATACTAAAAATTAGATAAACGCTCATCATATGAAAATTAGGAACCTATGCAAAAACGCTAATCCCTTTCTAGACAACATTAATTCATATCGTGTAAATGTGATACAATAATCGAAAGTGGACGAGGTTTTGAGCAAAGTTTATTGATTACAGACATGTAACATCAACTATGTTGGGATAGTATAAAAACAGTGACTGTTTAGATCATCCTTAGAATATCCTTAAACATGGATAAATTATTAGCATAGATATTTGTAGCCAGTCATTAGTAATACGCGAAAGAAGTAATGTAATGTAGGAGTATCTCTCAAACTAATAAAGAATGTTATGACTATCTTTTCAGCTGTTTAAACTCTTTATTTTAGAGAGTAGTTTACTTTTACAGTTTAAAAATTTAAAATATACGGTTACTTATTTTCCTTGTTAAATGTAATTCTGCATAATATTTGTTAGGTACAAGTTGTACACAAAAAAATTCACCCATTTTCTTCTTATCAAATTTGTATCCCGCGAAGAAGTGACCTTGTTTAAGGTCAGTGCAAACACTCGTCACTAAAACAACTTAAAGATTGCGAAAAAAAAGTGATAAGAGTATGTAATAAAAATTGTTTCACAGTGCTTATCAATCCATGTCACAGATTTTTTTTTAAAATGCTGTCCTTGTATAACTGAGTGTTCACCGAAATTTCAACTTTTAGTTTAAATAATCACTTCAAAAGTAGAAGTATTTTTTGAATAGCTTTATACACAAGAAATGAAATTCCTGTGGTTGCCAGCTAAATATGTCTACAAAATTCATATTTTTTTATTCTGAAAAGTTTTGTCGCCTATAGGAGACGAAAATACTCCACACTGGCTAATGTATGCCGTATCTGTGTTTAACAGTACATTAGCGAAAATGATAAGCATTGAATATGTCAATTTTGATTTTACCGTTGATTGATTAGACCGACATGATTGGCGTCTGTTAACATGTCGACTCCTAGTATGGATGCTTCGACGATATCTAAGGATTTAAATTGATTCAATTTTGTGGATGGTGACTAGCAAAAGAATCTAGGATGTACGTTTCGTCCTATTTGGGACTCGTCATCTGGATATATCAACATGGGCCGAAAATTTCGGTCCAGTGGATCAACAAATATTAACTAATGCTAGTTGCGCTAGAGGTGACTTTTACGGTCCAAGTGATCGGATGGATAACTTTTCGGCGTTTGAAACCATTGGTACCGTCTGTGAGTTTCAGTGGGAACACCATTACTCACTGGGAAATGAGGTGCATCCAAATGACGAGCCTCAAATAGGACGAAATATGCATCCTGGATTCTACTGCTGGTCACAATCCATCAAAATTACTTCAAAATGATAAGCAAACTGACTACAGAATAAATAACTTTAAAAATGTTTTGTAAAGCAACAGCTTTTTTGAAGATCAATTCTATAACTAAACTGCTGTTATTTAAAAAGCAATTCGGTTTAAATGTCCAGTAGATCATCAAGTGAATTAATAAATACGATTTGTTTCATTAGAAAGGATCGACTATAATGTGAAGTTAATAAGTTTATTCAAATGTAGGTCTTACTTTAGTAAGACAAATAATGAGAACCTCAAAGACTACGTCACCAACCGAAAAACTGAAGACCAATCGGGACTCACTAACTGTGATACTTTAATATTATAGAACTGATAGCTTCTTACACAAATAACTTAGTAAATTTACTTCAAATAGGTTTTATTAAACACCACACTATTATCTAATTTGCGTTAAATTTATAAGCTGCAAAAATACAATTCGGTTGACGGTTGTTAGCGATGAGATCCAAGATTCACATTCCGTTCCATTCGGAACTCGTCAATTGGATGTAACTACATCTGTAGTAAGCGGTGATATTCCCCTTGAGAGCCTTAACCTGAGTAGCAGGGAAAAGGAAAATTTAAATTTCTACTACATGAGTTACACGTCTCGATGAAAACAGAAAATTACAGGCTTTTGAATCGATCATAACTAAGCTCTATATAAACTAAGTCAATAACCATCATAAAACAACTGCGAATGAGTATAACTAATCAATTATTCATAGTAAATAATTATTCATGATGGT